ATTTGAGACATGAAATTGAAGAAATAACTTCTGAGAACCTGAGTTTAAAAGGGAGCCTTGAAAATGCCCTAAACGAAAGAAAGCATGAGAATGTGGTTGCTCAATGTCAACACCAAAGGGACACTGCTCAGATAGACCATCTAAACCTTAAAATAGATGATCTTCTTTCAGAGAACGGGAGCTTGCAATGTAAACTTGAAGATGCCATCAATGAGAGACAGTTTGTTTTTTCTGAGCAGAAACAGGATGTATTTAATCTAGACCATCTTATCCATGAAAATCAACAGTTGGCATCTGAGAACAAGAGGCTTCAAACTAAAATTGAGGATGTTTTGAAAGAGAGACAGCGTGGTTTTGAGATTCTTATTTTTCAACAGCGAAAGGATGCGGAGAAGTTAGACAAACTAACCTACGAAAACCAAAAACTCTCAAATGAGATCAAGAGGTTAAAAGGTAACTTTGAAGACGCATTGAATGATATTCAACATGCTTATGAGACTGCGGTTTCTCAAAGGAAGACAGATGCAGAAATATTAGCTAATTTAAAAAATGACAACAAACATCTTGTGAATGAAAACAAAAACCTGCAAAGTAAACTAGAGGAAGCCTTGAATGACAGGTGTTGTGCTCATGAGGTGGTGGTCTCTCAACAGCAAAAGGACAAAGATAAAGTGAACCAGCTCACACTGGAAAATCATCAGCTGGCTTTTGAGAAGAAGAGCCTGCAAGGAAAATTAGAGGAATCACTAAGAGAGAGACAGCAGGCCAGTGAGGCTGCTGACCGTAAGAACCAAAATCTGACTGATAAAATAGAACAACTGACCTCTGAGAATAAGAGCCTCGACGATGCCCTAAACAAGAGTAGGCATGCTTATCAAACTGCTGCCTCCAAGCAGCAGGTGGATGCAGAAAGACTGTCCCATCTGACTCAAGACCTCCAGAAACTGACTAATGATAACATTGCTCTGAGAGATAAACTTGAGCTTGCTAAATGTCAGCATCAAAAGGATGCAGATACACTGAACAATCTAACCATTGAAATACAACAAATGCTTTCTAAGAACGATAGCCTTCAGTATAAACTCAAAGATATATTGAGTGAGAGGCAGTACGCTCAGGAGACTGCTGCTGCTCAGCAGCAGAAAAATACTGATGATCTGAATCACCTTATATGCGAGAATCAAAAACTAACAACTAAGAACAATGACTTACAAGATAAACTTGAGCAAACTGTGAATGAAATACAAAATGCTTATCAAACGTCTTTCTCTCAGCAGCAGAAGGATGCTGAACAAATGTCCCATCTGAGTCAAGAAGTTCAAACCCTGACTGCTAATAACAATACGCTTAAAAGTAAACTGGAGACGGCTTTGAGTGAGAAACAGGTTGTTCATGAAGCTGCTGAATCTCAGCATCAGAGGGATGCAGATAAACTAGACCACCTCATTCAAGAAATAAAACTAATGGCAGCTGAGAAGGAGACACTTTGCTACAAACTTAATGATGCCCTGCTCAAGAGGCAGGAGGACACAGATAAATTAAATCACCTTATTTGTGAAAATCAACAACTAACAACTGAGAACAAAAAGCTGCATGTTAAACTAGAGGATGCCCTGAATGATATCCAACGCTCTAAATGTACGTCTCTCTCACAGCAGCAGAAGGATTCAGAAGTGATGGCTCATCTAACTAATGAAAACCAACTACTGGGTTTTGAGAACAAAGACCTGAAAGGTAAACTGGAAGATGTCTTGCATCAGAGACAGCAAGACCTTAAAGCTGCTATGTCCAAACAGCAAAAAGACAAAAATAAAATAGACAATTTAAGAACAAAATTTCACCAATTAGTCGTTGAGAACGATAGGTTACAGGCCAAGTTCAAAGACGCTGTCAGTGAAAAACAGTTAGCAAGAGATGCTGAGGATTCTCAGCACCAGAAGGACACTGGAAAAATTGATTCCCTTACCCGTGATTACCAACATCTGGTTTCCGAGAAGAAGATTCTGCAATGTAATCTAGAGGAAGCAGCAGAAAGAAATGATCTTTTGACTCACAGAATACAACAACTGGTTTGTGAAAACGAAAGCCTAAAGTGTTCACTTGAAGATGCCGTAAATGAGAAAAAATGTGTTCATGAAGCTTATGTCTGTCAACAGCAGAAAGATGTAAATAAACTGGAACAAGTGATTTGTGAGAACCAGAGGCTACAGGTCAAACTTGAGGACACACTGAAGGACAGACAGTGTATTCAAGAAGCAGCTGATTCACAGCAGCAAAAAGTTGGAGAAAAACTAGACAACCTCAATCATGAAATTTTACATTTGTTATCTGAGAATAAAAGGCTTCAAGGAAAACTTGAGGATTCACTCACTGAGAACAGACATGTTAAAGAGGCTGCTGAATTGAAGCAACGAAAGGATGCATGTAAACTGGACCACCTTTCTCAGAAAATTCAGCAACTTGCTTCTGAGAACAACAGGCTGCAAGGTAAACTTGAGGATGCTCTCAATAAGAAACAACTTGCTCACAAGGCTGTGGAAGCTCATCAGCAAGAATATCAAGTAAAACTGAATCAGTTAAATAGTGAAAACCAACAGATGGCTTTAGAAAAGATAGAACTGCAGAGTAAACTTCAGGATGCTGTGAATGATAGACAGCATGCTTATTTGACTGCTGCCTCTGATCAGCAAAAAGATGCGAAAAGACTGTCTGAGTTGACTGAGGAAGTGCAAACATTATCTTCTCAAAACAAGATTTTGCAGCATAAACTCGAGGATGCCCTCAGTGAAAAACTGCATGCTTTTCAGGCTGCTGAATCTCAACGTCAGAAAGATGCAAATATAGTGGAATGTCTGAGCTGTGAAATACAAAAACTGGTTTCTGAGAACGAAAGCCTGCGATCTAAAGCCGACATTGCCTTGAAGGAAAGACAGCTTTCTGAAGAGGCTGCTCTGTCTCAACAGCAAAAGGATGCTGCTAGGCTAGACCACCTCTCTCATGAAAATCAACAACTTTCATCTGAAAACAAGAAGCTGCAGATTAAGCTTGATGATGCCTTGAAGGACAGACAGGAGACCTACGAGGCTTTGGTCTATCTACAGCAGAAAGATGCAGAAAAATTAGAACAACTTGTTCATGAAAACCGAAGACTGGCACATGAGAACAAGAGCTTGCAAGGTAATGTTGAGAATGTCCTAAATGATTGTCATCACGCTTATGATGTTGCCATCTCCCAAAGGCAGAAGGATACTGAAAGAATAGCTGGTTTAACTCGTGAGAATCAACAGTTAAGTTCTCAAAATAAGATTCTGCAGGATAAACTCCAGGATGCTCTCAGTGACTATCAGCGTGAGAAAATGGCTTCAGTCTCCCAGCAGCAAAAGGATGAACATAAAATCTGCCATCTTTCAAAAAAAATCAAGCAACTGGCATCAGAGAACAAGGAGCTGCAGGGGAAATTACGAGATGTGCTTAATGAAAGACAGTGTGCACTGGATGCTGTGAATTCACAGCTTCAAAAGGATGCAGGTGTGATAGATAACCTTACCTTTGAAAACCAACAGCTGGCTTCTGAGATCAAGAGGATACAAGAGAAATTGGAGGAGACATTGAGAGACAAAAATAATGATTATGAGGCTGCTCAGTCTCAGCTGCAGAAGAAGGTGGACCAAATAAACCATCTTACTAATGAAAATCAACACCTGGCTTTTGAGAATGACGGGCTGCAGAGTAGGCTTGATAGTACTTTGAAAGAAAAACAGCATGCATATGAGGCTGCTGTCTCTGAACAGCAAAAGGATGCCAAAAAATTGTCCAATTTGACAGAGGTTGTAGAAACACTCACTTCTGACAATTTGAACTTGCAAGGTAAAATTAAAGATGTCCTGAATCAGAGTCAGTTAGCTCATGAAGCTGCTGAATATCAACGTCAGAGAGATGCAGAAAAACTAGATCTCCTAACCCATGAAATGAAAAACATGATTTCAGAAAACAACAGTCTGCAATGTAAACTAGAGGATGCCCTTAAAGATAAGCAACTTGCTCACGAGGCTTATGTTTCTCGGCAGCAGCAGGACACAGATAAACTAAACCACCTTTCATACGAAAATCAACAACTAGCATCTGAAAACAAAAGGCTGCACAGTAAATTTGAGGATGTCCTAAGTGAGCGACACGTTGCCCATGAAGCTATCGTCTCTCAACAGCAAAAAGATGCAGATAAACTGCACCAATTACAGCATGAAGTCAAACAACTTGAACTTGGAAACACAAAGCTGCAAGATCAACTCCAGAATGCCCTAAATGACAGACGAAATGCTTACGAGGCACTTATATCCCACCAACAAAAGGAGGGAGACAAACTGGAACATCTTACTCAAGAAAACCAAAGACTGACACAGGAGAATGAGAGGCTGCAAAAACATGTTAAATGTACCCTGAATGACATACAGCAAACCTATGAGGATATTATGTCCCAAAGGCAAAAAGATGTAGAAAAATTAAACCATCTCAATCATGAAAACCAAGAGCTGGCTCTTAAGAACGAGAAGCTTCACAGTGAACTTACCAATGCTCTAAATGAGAAACAGTATGCTTGTGAAGTGGCTGCCTCCCAACAGCAAAATGATGCCAAAAAACTGTTGAATTTGACCAATGAACTAGAGAAACTCACCTTTGAAAACAAGAGCCTGCAGAATAAATTTGAAGGTGTCCTGAATGAGGCTCACAGTGTTGAGTCTCAACGTCAGAAGGATGCTGAGAAAGCTGACCACATGAACCACGAAATACAAACATTGGTGTCTGAAAAAAAGAGGCTGCAATGTAAAATGGACAGTGTTTTGAATGACCAACAGCAAGCCTATGGGACTTTCATCTCAGAGAAGCAGAAAGATGCAGAGAAACTAGAACTACTGGCCTATGAAAACCAAGAACTGACAAGTAAAAACAAAGTTCTGCATGATAAACTTGAGGAAAGGCAACGAGCCATTGAGGCTTCTGTCTTTCAGCAGCAGAGGGACAGAGATACATGTCAGCATCTCACTTATGAAAATCAACAAATGGCTGTTGAGAAGAAGAGGCTACAAGGTAACCTTGATGCTGCCCTGTGTGAAAGACAGCGTGCTTTTAAGGCCGCTGACTCTCAGCATCGCAAAGATACGGATGAGCTACAACGTCTGAGTAAAACAATACATCAGCTAGCCACAGAGAACAAAAGGCTTCTAGGTAAACTTGAGGAAACCCAGAGTGAAAAGCAGTCTGCCGTCGAAGCTGCTCAGTCTCAGCATCAGAGGGACACAGACAAAGTAGACCACCTGACTCAGAAATTGCAACAAGTGACTTCTGAGAACAAAAGACTATTAGGTAAACTCAAGGATGTCCAGAATGAGAAACAAAAGGCCAATGAAGCTGCTAAAATACAGCATCAGAAGGATGCTGAAAAGGTAGACCATCTGAATGGTGAATATCAAAAACTGGTTTCTGAGAACAAGGAGCTGAGATGTAGACTTACAGGGGCACTGGATGAGAGAAAACAGTCTCTTGAGGCTTCAGCTTCTCAACAACTGAAGGACAGAGATAAAATCAACAAACTTACTTGTGAAATCCAAAAGCATGTTTCTGAAAAGATGGTGTTACAAAGTAAACTTGAGGATGTCCTGTATGAAAAACAATGTGCGTACAAAGCTGCTGAATCTCGACAGCAGCAGGATGCAGATGCACTTCAACGTTTCACCCTTCAAAACCAACACCTGTCTTTGGAGAACAAAAAGCTTCAAGCTAAACTTGAGGCTGCCCTAAATGAAAACAGTCAAGTTTACAAAGCTGCTGCTTCTCAGCAGCAGATGGATACAAATAAACTTGAGCAAATGGCTGAAGAAAATCAAAAACTGAAAATTGAATACAAGAACATGCAAAGTAAACTTGAGGATGCAATAAATGAGAGGAAACTGGTCCAGGAAGCTGCAGTCTGTCAGCAGAATATTGACAGAAAAACACTTGACCATTTAAATAATGAAATGCAGCAACTGACTTTTGAAAACAGAAAACTTCAAACAAAAGTCGAAGATGGCCTGAATGAGAGACAACACGAGTATGAAGTCAGTGTCTCTAGACAGCAGAGAGATAAAGAAAGACTGGAACATCTAAATCAGGACAACCAACATTTGATTTCTGAAAACAAGAAGCTACAGGATAAACTTGATGAGTACCTCGAGGAGCGACATCTTTCCCATATATGTCTACAAGAAGACAAAAAAGCTATCAGCAACCTTGAGGAGGAAATGAAGAAAGAGAAAACTTGTTTGTTACTTGCACGTAAAAAGATTGAGATGCAAAAGAAAGTTTTAGCATCTTCAAAGAAAATGATGAAAAACATGCAGATACTGAAGATGGAGAACATCCAAATAAGAGCTAAATTCAAGGATGTGGAAACCAAGTATAACAGAGTCATGAATAAGAAAAATCTTTCTCATGACGCTGCTGTCTTGCAGCTACAGATGGACACTGATAAACTGGATCATCTGACCGAGGAAAACCAACAACTGGCTTCTGAGAACAAGAGACTGCAAAGGAAGCTTGATGATGCTTTGAAGAAAAGACAACGGGATCAAAAGGATGCTGTGTTTCAGCGGCAGAATGATGCAGATAAAGTGGCCCAACTGACCAGTAAAATCCAGAAGCTAACTTCTGAGAATCAAAGGTTGAAGGAGGAAGTGGAAGATGCCGTAAGTGAGAAACAGCGTGCATGCAAGACTGTGTACTCTGAGCAGCAGAAGAATGCTGATGACCTGAATCGTCTTCATCATATAAACCAAGAACTAACTTTTGAGAACAAACGGTTTCAAGATAGTCTAGAAGATGCTCTAACGGAAAGTCAGCAGGCTAAAAAGCAGCTCCATGAAGACAGAGAATGTTGCAGCAGACTTGAGGAGGAAGTCAGGAAACAGAGAATGCGCTTCTTAAAAGTGCGTAAGATTTTTGAGATGCAAAAGAAAGCTTTTGCTGCCACAAGGGGCAGGATTTATGACATGCAGACACTCAAAATGGAGAATAACAATTTAAAACTCCAATTGAAGGACTTTGAGACAAAATATGGAAGACTAACAGCCCGACACCACTCTCTGTGTCAACTTCACAGAGAGATGATGTCACGGAAGGATGACACCATCGCTGTGAATCAAACTACAATAGCTGAGCTGGAGTTAAGGATACAGGCTTTTAACACACAACAACTGGAGAGCAAAACACGTCAGGCCAAACTTGAGGAAACGCTGAGACAGGAAAAAACACACAGCACTGTTTTGCGACAGAAAGCAGATCAACTTCTCTTGTTGATGAAGCGGAAAGAGCCATTTTTGAGTACCGCGGTGAAGAACTAATTCAGGCTCTTAGAAATGCAGATTAACACATTGGAAGAGTAGCATTAATAAATGCATTATTCTCATTTATATGATTATTGACATCAAGTTGAACTACTGAAAAATGGCTGCCTCATAGAACTGTCAGAAAATGATAAAGGCTAAAGGGCAACCACAACAGGACACAACACAACTGAACTCTGCTGTCTGTCAATCCTATCAATCCAAAAGAAAAATAACAATACATGAAGTTAATCTGTCAATCCTATCAATCTAAAGAAAAATAACAATACATGAAGTTAAAAGATAATGTCTGCTATTACCCATCTATAGTGACCATCAGTGTAATATCCATACAAGTAAAAGACAACATTTTCCTTCTTTTGTCTATATTTTTGTCCTGTACTTAACGTTTGATGTTGATAACAAATGTATAAAGGTTTTATAATAGTTTTATATCCAAGAAAAAAAGATGAAACAGTTGTTTTTAGTTCTAAGTGTGTAAGTCTGATGTCGGAATAGATAATAAAAAAAATCACTGTGACTGTATATTTGTATAGTCATCCTTTTAATACTTACATATAAACACACACACATATACATTATATATATAATGCGTGTGGCTCTTATGACCCATGTAAATGTAGTCAGGTGTGTTCAGTATCAGTGACACTCCTTTATTGATAAACGTAACAGTCTGACACCAACTTTTTTGACCAATTTCAGTCAAATTATTTTATTACATTTTTAAAAAGTCAGATTAGCAAAATCTGTAACTAAAGAGCCACCAAAGTCTTTAATACTTACTGTGTTCTTTGAGCTTTTCCATCACACCAGCCTAATTATTTTTGGTGTCCTCTTGTATGTGAAGTACACAGAATGTGTACACATAAATTAAATTGTTTATTACAGATCATTAAACACATTGTGTTCAAAAAGAAATTATCTTAATGCGTGTCTTAATGTGATGACAGCTTTGTCTGTAAATCAACAACATCTGGAACCTAATATCTGATGTAAGGCACTTTAAAACACTTGACCCTCAAATATATCCATCACTGTTTTCTGTTATTGGTTGTGTGACAGTAAAACGAAAAAAGTTAAACATACTTAATAAATCACAAAGTGCACAAACTATGCAGCAACTTTGCTATATTGTCTAAAAGGAGGAAACGTATGTCCACACAGTTTACCACACACCTACGTTCCACACAGCTATGATGTTACTTAAGCAGTTCTTCAACATCTCGTGTGGTTGGTTGAAGCTCTTCCATGTCTTTTGGTTTGATGTTCAGCTGTCTTTGACAGTAAAGAAGTGAAGTCCCTTCATGGTCAACAGTCCAGGGTTTC